AAGTAATTTTCAATCCAGAGATTTTTTTGTTTATTCTGCTTTTTGCAAACACTTCTGGGACTTTGAATTGCTAATACTTGAAATTAGTGTGGTTGGTTAGGGGGACTTAATTCTTAAAAAACCTCTTTCTGACAGTAGTTAGATCGAATCCGTAGATCCGAATCCGTAGATCCAGTGGCCTGAACGCAGCGGCTCAGACCAGTCGGCCTTGCTGCTTTTATGGCTCAAGCTTTAATTTTTCAACTAATTTTCAATTATTTTTCAATCCGGAGAATGTTTTTGGTTATTCCGCTTGTTGCAAAGTCTTTTAGTCCTTTGAATTGTCAATAGTTGCAATTAGTGTGGTTGGCTCGGGAGACTAAATTATCATAAAACCTTTGTCTTTGACAGGAGTGGGATTCCAACAGTTGCATCCGAAGATACTGCTGCCTTAACGCAGCGCCTCCGACCACTCTGCCATCCTGCCTTTAAGTCTCAACTTTAAATTTTCAAATACTTTTCAATCCAGAGAACATTTTTGTTTATTCTGCACTTTGCAAAACTTGTTGATCATCTGAACTGCCAAAACTTTCAATTTGTGTGATTGACTGTGGAGACTCAAATACCAGAAAACCTCTCTCTCTGACAGATTGGGCTTCGAACCCACGAATCTGAAGATACTGCGGCGTTAACGCAGCGCCTTAGACCACTCGAACATCCTGCCGTTAATGGAATCTTTCAAAAACTTTAAGTAATTTTCAGTCCAGAGATTAGTTTTGTTTATTTTGCTTGTTGCAAACATTTTTGGGACTTAGAATTGCTAATACTTGCAATTAGTGTGGTTGGCTAGATGGACTCAATTCTCAAAAAAACCCTTTCATTGACAGGAGCGGGCTTAGAACCCACGAATCCAAAAATGCTCTAATTTTTTAAATTAATTTTCAATCCCGAGATTTTTAGTTTATTCTTTAAATTACAAAATCTTTTATTCCTTTGAATTTGCAATAGTTGCAACTAGTGTGGTTGATTAGGGAAACAAAAATATCATAAAATTTTTGACTTTGACAGGAGTGGGATTCGAACCCACACATCCGAAGATTCTGCGGCCTAAACGCAGCGCCTTAGACCACTCGGCCATCCTGCCTATAAGTCTGTTTCTTTAATTTTTCAACTACTTTTCACTCCAGAGATTATTTTTGTTTCTTCTGCATTTTGCCAGCGTTGCTGGTCATCTGAACTGCCAAAACTTACAATTAGTGTGATTGGCTCTGGAGGCTATAATCTCAGAAAATCTTTTTTTTTGACAGATGTGGGATTCGCACCTTTTAATCTGAAGATATTGCTACCTGATCGCAGCGGCTTAGACCACTCGAACATGCTGCTTTCACATTTTACGCTTAAATTTTTAAATTAATTTTCAATCCAGTGAAATTTTTTTGTTCTGCATGTTCCAAAATCTTTTAGTCCTTTGAATTGCCAATAGTCTCCATTAGTGTGGTTGGCTAGGGAGACTAAAATATCAGAAAAATTTTTTCTTTGACAGGAGTGGGATTCGAACCCACGCATCCGAAGATACTGCGGCCTAAACGCAGCGCCTTAGACCACTCGGCCATCCTGCCTATAAGGCTTTTTTCTTTAAATTTTCAACTACTTTTCAATCCAGAGATTATTTTTGTTTCTTCTGCATTTTGCCAGCGTTGCTGGTCATCTGAACTGCCAAAACTTACAATTAGTGTGATTGGCTCTGGAGGCTATAATCTCAGAAAATCTTTTTTTTGACAGATGTGGGATTCGCACCTTTTAATCTGAAGATATTTCTCCCTGATCGCAGCGGCTTAGACCACTCGAACATGCTGCTTTCGAGTTTTTAGCTTGAAATTTTCAATTAATTTTCAATCCAGAGATTTTTTGTTCTGCATGTTGGAAAATATTTTAGTCCTTTGAATTGCCAGTACTTGCAATTAGTGTGGTTTGCTGGGGAGAATAAAATTTGAGAAATATAATTCTTTAACAGGAGTGGGATTCGAACCCACGCATCCGAAGATATTGCAGCCTGAACAAATTGGTTTTGACGACTCGCCCTGCTGCTTTTAGGTTTAATCTTAAAATTTTGATTTAGTTTTTAATCCAGAGACTTTTTTTGTTTGTTCTGCTTGTTGCAAAATCTTTTAGTCCTTTGAATTGCCAATAGTCGCTATTAGTGTGGTTGGCTAGGGAGACTAATATATTAGAAAACCTCTTTCTCCGACAGATGTGGGATTCGAACCCACTAATCTGAAGATACTGCTCCTTGAACGCAGCGGCTTAGACTACTCGAACATGCTGCTTTCATATTTTATGCTTAAAATTTTCAATTAATTTTCACTCCAGAGAATATTTTTGTTTGTTCCGCAAGTTGCAAAATCTTCTAGTCCTTTGAATTGCCAATAGTCCCAATTGGTGTGGTTGGCTAAGGGGACTGAAATATTATAAAATCTCTTTCTCTGACAGATATGGGATTCGATACTTCGGCATGATCGCAGCTGCTTAGACCACTCGACCATGCTGCTTTTAAGTTTTCTCTTAAATATTTGAATTAATTTTCGATCCAGAGAATATTTTTGTTTGTTTTGCATGTTCCAAATCTTTAAGTCCTTTGAATTGCCAATAGTCGCCATTAGTGTGGTTGGCTAGGGAGTCTAAAATATCAGAAAACCTTCTTCTGTGACAGGAGGGTGATTCGAACACACGCATCCGAAGATACTTTGACCTGAACGCAGCGCCTTAGACCACTCGGCCATCCTGCCTTTACATTAATCTTTTAAAATCTTTCAAAGTAAATTTCAATCCAGAGATTTTTTTGTTTATTCTGCTTATTGCAAACACTTCTGGGACTTTGAATTGCTAATACTTGAAATTAGTGTGGTTGGTTAGGGGGACTTAATTTTTAAGAAACCTCTTTCTGACAGGAGTTAGATCGAATCCGTAGATCCGAATCCGTAGATCCAGCGGCCTGAACGCAGCGGCTCAGACCAGTCGGCCTTGCTGCTTTTAAGGCTCAAGCTTTAATTTTTCAACTAATTTTCAATTATTTTTCAATCCGGAGAATGTTTTTGGTTATTCCGCTTGTTGCAAAGTCTTTTAGTCCTTTGAATTGTCAATAGTTGCAATTAGTGTGGTTGGCTCGGGAGACTAAATTATCATAAAACCTTTGTCTTTGACAGGAGTGGGATTCCAACAGTTGCATCCGAAGATACTGCTGCCTTAACGCAGCGCCTCCGACCACTCTGCCATCCTGCCTTTAAGTCTCAACTTTAAATTTTCAAATACTTTTCAATCCAGAGAACATTTTTGTTTATTCTGCACTTTGCAAAACTTGTTGATCATCTGAACTGCCAAAACTTTCAATTTGTGTGATTGACTGTGGAGACTCAAATACCAGAAAACCTCTCTCTCTGACAGATTGGGCTTCGAACCCACGAATCTGAAGATACTGCGGCGTTAACGCAGCACCTTAGACCACTCGAACATCCTGCCTTTAATGCGCAACTTTAAATTTCCAACTATTTTTCAATCCCGAGAACATTTTCGTCACTAACTTTAGTGATTCTTTAGTTGCTTAAGAAAACTTGTAAATACAAAACTCGTTCATTATTAAGCTAACAATCAATAATTTTCGCCATTAAAGTTTGTACATTTTATTAATCAACTAATCAACATTAAGCAGTTACGTCAGTTATAAGTCACTGGATTTCATTTCTCTTAAGTTTTTCTTTTATTGAAGGGGGAGTGTTTTATGGTGCTAATTCATTTTATGAGAGTTCTCTGATTCTAGCCATCAATCAGCTGTCATTTGTGGTGCTTATTAGTTCCTGGCAGGTCCCGGCCTTCGGTGCTGTCTGTCATCTTCCGTTGACCTCTGTATTTTGTAAGATTAAGTTACACTTATTGTCGGAATGTACTGTATTGAACAAGCAACCGTTTTAACAGCAACCGTTTCAACAAACCTAAAGTTCAGAAAACATTTTTTAATGATAGGATCGGTATTCAAACTCACGCATCCGACAATATTGCGGCCTAAACGCAGCCCCTTAAACCTTTTGGCCAGCCTGACATTTAATATTCAGTTTCAGATTTTTATGTAGCTTACATTTGAACTAAAGATAACTTGATAGTTTACTGCATCAAGTTTGTAAGGTGGTTTTTTCTTGAAGGTTTATACCCAAGTGGATTTTCTCTTTAACCATACTGATAACAAAGTCAATCAAACATTACGCCGAAAGTACTCAGTTGATGAGCAAATTACATCAAAGTGCGCTTCTTATGTAGTTCAATTATGTTTGAGAAAGGTATAATCTCCAAAATTTTGGGCCTAATTTTCTGACTAGCAAACACTTTTTTCAACTTCGGATAATGGTTTTTTTGGATTACACAAGAAGTTCTCTTTCATCAATTGAACCAGTATTTTTTGCACCACTTTTGATTGACTAAAAAGATCCAAAATTGATTGTTTGGAAATTAAAGCGTTGCATCATATTAGACCTGCTGAAGTACTTAGCAAGTTTTGTTCATTCTTTGTCTAAGTTAACCCAATTTGAGATACATGATTCTTTAAATTTCAAGTTAAAATCGTTTTGTCCGGATATTTTATATGAGCACTGTATATTGCTCATAAGTCTGCGGCTAGTCATTTTCTGAAGATCAGGCTGTTATTTTTGCCGACAAGGAAAATGGAGCATTCGGTTGAAGGTAGTTTGACCTCCACAGCTTGTTAATCATATGCACATCACCTTCTAACACATCTCTTGTTCCCTGTATTAGCAGGTCAGCGGTGATTTGTAAAATTAGATGAAATAGCTGTTGTTCAGAAGAGAATTGCGAAATTTAAAAATCCCCAATTCAAAATAACTGTTTGGAAAATGTATTGGCGAATATTGTGTCAATATGTTAATGTTTGCTGTGGGAGAAAGGATTGCTTGCATGACAACAGCCCCAGACTAATATCAAAGTTTTCAGTCAATGAAAAATGTCGTTGGATTTAGGATCTTCACAGGCACTGCGCACGAAAGGCGCGTTGAGCTACCGAGCACCACAAGTACCGGGACCGCCAAATGTTCCCAAGGAGGTGCAAGAAACTAGGGAGACGCTGGCCATACACCACTACAGTGAGCAAATTCTGAAGGCATTGGAAAAGCATAGAGTGACGGTGATAAGTGGACCTGCTGCGTGTGGAAAGACTACCCAAGTCAGTTAAGCTAAAAAAAAACATTACACATTTTATCTCTTTGGCTGTATGGATTGGTTCCGCGTATATTTCATGAAATTTTTTTAAACCCTCGAAAAGCTATGTCTGCACTTATTCCAAAATGAACAGATGGGGCGGATGCAGGATATTAGTCTGCTCCAAAAACACGATTCTTACCAATCTCAAAATTGCGTAGTGTTCATAATTGTAGCAAAAACTAGGCCAACAAGTGTCGTCTAAATGTCTTGACTGGTGGTTATTTACTTTGCATCATTAAAACTAATACAATTTCAGTAGTACCAATCGAAAAAGTACATATTTCAGATTCTGAAACATTTTCAACCTTTCACCAATCAATTACCATATCTTAACAGTGCCTGAATTCTTACAGTTCTTACAAAAAGCTAGACAATTTTTTTGGCAAACCATTAACAGTTTCTGGAAAGTCCCTCCTGATAAAAACTGCGTTTTTTGACGCCGTTTTCTCACAGTAAGTGTAACAACAACCTGACTGGTATACCACGCTCTTGAACCAACTTCGTGAAAGGGATGCGTGGTTGTGGTCAAGTGGTGGAGCCACTGAATCTATAGTTAAGCCCAATTGACAGTTTCGGTGAACTTGACAGACTTACTCGGACAAAAAACGGTGCTTTCTAGATTGATTAGATATTCAGTTTTCAATCTGAAACCAGTGGAAAAGTATTTCTGGCATCAAAGTAAGCAGCTGTGAGCTTAAAAACTTCCTTGACTTAAGAGGAAATTTCGAACACTTCAGCACTAACCATATAAGAGTTCATACTAGCATTCAAAGACAGGTTGGACAACTGTCACCGCTTGCCTATTTGGCTCAGCAGTTTGTAAAGTCTGCTTGGATCGTTTCGAAATTTTGTATGGCTCTAAAATCACCTTCAGAAAAATTTGGTTGGTGCGTGGGGTGTAAATATCCTAATAACAAACGCCCACTCCTCAAAGCTCTCCTCTGCTCTTTGTCACATTTTCTTATTCTTTTGGGTTCTGACTTCTCATTGGCTTACATGATTTCCTGAAATTCGGTCCCTCTGCCATGAGCGGATTTCTCGGACCGCTGATCAAGCCGCTTTTGGCAGTTTTGATGCATTGATGTTGGCAAGTTGGCAAACACAAATTAAGAAAAGTTCTATATTAAAACAACAGTTACTCGGTGGTAAATGGCTATCAAAAATATCAACTGTGTGACAGAAGTTTTTCGACGTGGCAAAATATAACGGGGAGTTTCTAATGAGCTAAATGTTGTAGGTCTTCTAAGCTGCGCAGAACTTGGATCGCATGTCTTTGAATGCCTCTTGTTTGGTCTTCGACTCTTCTTCCTCTTGCAGTTTGCGTGCTTTCTCCTGCTCCACCTGAAAATTATACCCATTCAGCTCCGTTCATAATGGGGGCGATGAATGTTTCAGAATCACGAAAAGGATTAGGATTGGTTGGCCTTTAAGAGCAGAACAGCTCGCATAGTGGGTCTTTATATTGTGACAAAAACGTTTTCCTCGATCTAAGTTTGCATTTCATACAGGTTGTCTGAAACGCTCTGTCTTTATATTTTTCTCTTTTCCCCAATTTTTATCGATGGGTCAAGAGTTTATTTTACGGGAAAAGATACCTCTTCGCATACCTCTTTGGCGAAGCTGTTGTCGGCTGATGCCTTCATCTTGGCCTGGAAGAACTCTTTGGCCCCCGTGACTCCTTTCTCCCCCACGTCTATATCGTTCAGACTAGCCAACTGCTTCAGAGGAGAATCCTCGTCTATTTCGTCCGAACACGCCTTCCTAAGCACATATATTTCAATTATTTAGTTGAACAAGTCAGTGTAAGTATTGTTTTTTACACTTTGTTCAACCGATAATTTTGCTTGCTTTGATTCATATTTTAATTTTACCCAAAAAAAATATATATTTTTTTCAAATACAATCAGAACTTTTTTTGAGGTTAATCAACTCCAGTAAATTGACTTCGGAAACGATTCTCGTGCTAAAGGATTATGGTTTATTACCTAATAGGGCATTGAGTGTGGTTTAATAAAAAATCTGTCTGTCTTGACTCGGAAACTGAAAAGAAATTACCAACTTCGGGGATGAGAAAGAGGGACTAAACCTGAAGCTGATTATTTTTTGTTATTAGTTTGAACAAATTTTGATCTCATTTCAGAAAGTATAATTGCTAGCCTTTCTCCTTCGACAGGAAAACGACAGAAATCCTTCAAAAAATAGAAGTATATTTTTTTCCAATATAAGCAGATTATACCTGAAAACAGCTAGGAACTCTCTGAAAGTCAAGGCTCCCGTTTTTGGATCTTGTTTCGCATCTCGCAGCAGTCCTGTTAAAGTCACGTGAGTCTGCGGACAGCCGAGGTTTTCAAATACTGTCTTCAATTCCGGAAGCTTCAAACTGGTTCTGTCCGGCGTCTTCTCTGCCACTTCTTTGAATTTGGTCTCCAGGTGCTCGATGGTCTTCCGAGTGAGGTTGGGGTTTTCAGAGTAGACGGACACCCCCTGATGGTTCATAGTAGGGGACACCTCTCCCTCGTTGATCTTGTTGCGCTTCTCCAATTTGAGGGCAAGTTCGTCGGATGCTGATGGGGCGAGGTTGGGGTTCTCGGAGTTGATGGACACCCCCTGTTGGTTCATTGTGGGGGACACTTCCCCCTCGTTGATCTTGTTGCGCTTCTCCAGCTTGCGGGCAAGTTCGGCGGACGCTGACATCTTCGCTTAAAATTCGCTGATTTAAGATTTGAGAACACTATCTGAAACAATTTTTGCCTCTGAATTGTTCACCAAGTTCCAAAATATATCAAAATATCTCCCTCCCCTAGAAATGTTTCTGCGCACACCAACCACTGTCTGAGTACGACGACATGCTCCGGATACCTTGTTCAAAACTGTTCTAGAGGGAGAATGTGATAGAGGTGTCCCGATAAAAACCAAGTGTGAGAGAGGGGTCCCAAATTACATTAACTTTACTAGGCAAATACGGCAAATAACAAGCTCAAAATGCGCCGGTCGGTCGTTTTACAACTTTTTCTCAAACGTAATTAATCTAGCTGACTTATTCGATATTTTAATTGACAGATAACTAAATTGAACAACTTTGAGTCACTATTTACATTAGGTACTCTGTTAGTTTCTTGGGACCCCTCTATCACACTTGTACCGAATGTTAGGTACAAGTGATAGAGATCCCAAGAAACTACCAGGGTCTCGAATGTACATACAGTGCCTCAACATTTTTCTTTGTATTGCTTCGATGATTGCAGTGAAAACATCGTATAAGCTAAATTAGCCAGTTTTGGGAAAAAGTCTTGAAAACGACAGAGAGACGTCTGTTTATTTTTTAAACTGCTGTATTTGCTATAAAGTAGCGTGCTAGGGGATACTTCTGTCTCACTTGGTGTTTACAGCGACACCTCTATCACGCTTGTACCGAAAATGTCAATTTCAACTTGGTATCATTTCTAATTTCTGAAAAGAATTTCGCGAAATCAGTTGGATAAACTTTTCTCCTTTTGCCAGAATGTACCTAATATATGATATTTGCTGTGATTACCTGTGGGCGTATATAGAAGTTTTTGTAGCAAGGAAGGATTGGGAAATTTTAGGAAATAGCAAATAAATTCAAGAAGTAAACTTCAAAATTTGTCTTCAAGGAAATTTAATTTGAATTTCTAGTCCTCTGGATTTTTGCAATAGCGTGATTTCGAAAATTAATTTGACCTTAGTTTGAGTTGTCGACCTTGCATTGAGTGTTCAATTCGTGTCCAACGATAACCAATTTCCGAGGTCAAGCTTTTTTCGTGGCCTTTTCGATTCAATCTGTAAAATTGAAATGACTGCCGAGTGCCGATTTGTTTGCGTTGATGAAAACGAATTCTCTGTGTAACAAAAACAATCTTAGCTCGTACACTCTGTGATTCCGTAAACCTAACTCACGCAATAAAAGCCCACGAATGTTTCGTTTAATGATCCAAACGGTAAAATACAATTGAGTAGAAATGCTACATGATAGGACTTACTGATCGTGTGGCAAATGTTGCGTGTAGATTGTATGTGGCCGCCGCGGTCCTTGCTCCGCCGTCGTCAGATTAAATTCGAATTCCCTGCTCTTTTCTTTTCCTTTCCCTCCTGCGTGGAATAGAAATTGTATACCTGGAACGTATTCTCATAGGTTGAATTGTATCTACTCTGCTTTATGGTTCTTGTTCAATATTTTGTGACTGGCAATGTAGTCACGTATAGTGTAGGTGTACGTGTAGAGTTAATATATATATATATATATAATGGCATGTGCAGGACCATGCGGACCCTTAGTATGGGTAAATATTTTCTACCTTTTTTCAGCCAACCGCTCTCGATGGGATGATAGGGAAAAAGAATAGGTATGGCGGTAATAGAAATATATGCAGCATAGTTAGTTGAACTATAGGTTCCAGAATATGTAATGAAAAAGTGGGATCTGAATCTGTTTTGTTGTGCGGACCTTTTTTGCGGTAATGTTTGTATCATTCATTATTCTTGAATCGTCGCTGTCTGCTTGAAATTCATCCTTACCATAACAAAAACTGAAAATTAGGTAAAAACTGAAGACAAAGTGCACAATCCCCCCTCCCAAATCAAAGTAATATTTTTCAGCCAATCAGATTTGAGCATTGTACATACTTACTGCTTGATTTCATCATGTTATCATTTAACTGAATCTAACTTAACGTTTTTCAATTTTTGGACCGTAGATGACAAAAAAGGTCCAAAAATGCTGTGACATACAATTCAAATCTGTACAAAATCTCTTAGTGGTACCGGAATTTGTGTAAAAAAACATCCAATCCAAATTAACTTGTCACAATCGGTGTGACGAGCAAAGTTCTGCGTTTCAGGTTCCTCAGATACTGCTTGAAGACTACCATAGACGACAGGACAAATGTTCGATTCTAGTCAGTCAATCGAGAGGTCAAACTGTCATTTCATCTGCGGAGAGAGTCTCGTACGAGAGAGGAGCCACATCATCCTCCTCCTCCAGTTGCCATTCGCCCGCAATTTCATCCGACGGAGGCGTGAATAAGATGCAGAACACTTATGGTTCAAGTGGAGCTAATCCGAGAGATAAACAGCCTGTTAAGTCAGCAGGAACTGTTGGATACCAGGTTAGAATAATCGGGCAGGTTTTTATTCCGAACATTTGAAAAATGCGGAGGAAATTTGTATTCGGGTGCATTTTATTTTTTTTTCGTTTGAAAAAAATGCTATATTTTTGTTCAGATTATGGTCGGAACATTCATAATACTTGCACAGTAACCAGCTATCCTTGATTTTTTAAGCAATTTAAAAGCGTCCTGAACGTAGCGAATTCTTCTATATATAAGTCTTGGTGATGTTTTTTTTCGCAGAAAAAAGTCTCAGGCGGCTGAAAATTTGTTCAGGCGGCTCAAATTTGATTTTTCGCGATTTGATTTTTGGTTTCTTTACGCTTGCGAAGTGTTTCATTTACTCCTATAATTTGTAATTTTACTTACCTTGACTTCGTATTTCTTTTTTGTTTTTTTTTACGCTAAAAAATCCTCGGCCCAAGTTGACTTTACGCGAAAAATTGCGTGCCAAATCTGAGGTTGTTTTCACTTAAGAAACTTGGCCACAACCTGCTTTTTTGCAGACAACACAATCTGGTTTTTGAAAATCCTTCCGACCGTTTTTGGAACTTTTGACCATTTTAAAGAAAATTTTTGAATTTTCTTAAAGTTTTTACAAGGAATCTGATATGAAAAGATCAATTGAAAGAACCGGTTGCGATAATGGTTCCTGCAGAAGAGGCGTCTCCTTAATTTTTTGTAAACGAAATGTTATCTACTTTGGAAAAACCGATTTGAAATGCCGCATCAGTATTCAATCAATATCAAACACGTACCTCCAGCTTTCGCTGGCCCCTAATTGTTTTTATATCGAGACCAACGAACATTTTAACTCACCTAAATTTTCAACATTTAAATTTTGTGTTCAATTATATATTTGTGTTGTATCGCAAGTGGTGCGAAGCTCTGCTTCGCCTCTGTGCTTTAAGTTCGGTTCATTTCCTTTATCAAAGGTAGGCAAACTCCGCTACCAAACAGCAAAAGTGTAAAGGTCACGAAACACGTGATCGACTTCTAGTTTCGAAAGTGGATTTTGATTTTTAAATTTTTCAGCGAAATGGAAATCTTATCTATTGATCTAGTTTTTTCATAGTGGGTCAATTTTATCAAAAAATGTCAATCATTAATTGTTCTTGAAGTTCCTGAAGGCCATGTATGTTTTTCCTTGAAGTTCGAACTAAGAAGTTTTTTTTTCAAAAAAACAGTCAGTTTTTATTATGTTTCCTTGCTTTCATGACTTTTTCTAACTTTCTGTCTGGTATGTTTTTTATCATTAAATTATATCTTCACGCTTGTGATGAGCAAGCGTTATCAAATCGAAATATAGACTTTTTTGTCGGGTTAACAGCTTGTTTTACAGAATCAAATATTTTCAATCACTTGGTATCTTGGTTTATAATCAAATCTATTGTCCAAGCATCTCCAGCAAAATTTGTCTGGAGGCAGCGATTACCCCTTGACTGTAAAGGTCCTGGGTTCGAATCTTATCAGGACCTGTTTTTTTCCAAGAAATTGTCGGCTTAATATTTGTCTGCATATATTGTGTCGGCTTAGTTGCCACATCTTAGATGTTTTGCTGCATGCAACTTTCGTTGTAGTTGCTTTTTACGTTTCCGTATACTGCTGCATTTTGTAATTCTACTAGCCTTGACTTTGCATATTTTTTTTTGCCTGCAACATTTTTCGGCCTAAATGATTTCGGCTTATATTTATTGGCTTACTACCTTTATTTTGGGTCGTGAACCATACTTTTTATGCTTTCCTCAGGATTCATCAAATTGATAAGAATCGCTGAATAGAATTTGTAGCTCAAAGTTTTTGTAGCTCATGAGAACAATTTTTTTTTCGCTCGATAATTGTTTAAGAGTTTTCCTTAAACGTCGTCGAATGTTTTATGACCGTGTTTTTTGCAAACATCATTCTAGACTACTTTTCGAAGTTTTTTTAGCTGGGGTTTCTTCAAAGCTTTTTTCGTTCTTTTGGACTGAGTGGCTCTTCTTCCCTTTCCTGACTGCTAGCTTGCAATGCTATTTTTGTGTGGTATCACAGGTGATGCGAAGCTCCACTTTGCCTCTGTGTAAGTTATTGGGCCATTCTGATTTAATATAGTTAAAACTTCTGTGCTGTTTTAGAATATCTCAATGTTTTTCATGCATATTTTGGATATCGCTCATTTCACAAATTTCAAGATTGATAAATGGTTTAAATTAGGACAAGACCATTTATTAATCCGGGCGAATTTAAAGTGAAACATGATTTGGTCTGCTCTTATTTCGATCATGCAACTCAGAAATTGTGTGTGACCTGTTATCCCTTGTGCTCTAGGCGAACAAGCCGGAGCCGCAGAGCAAGGTGTCCGTGGACTCTGCTCTGACCTACTGCACCACAGACGTCCTCCTCAGGACCCTCCGGGACCCCAACTTCCTCGCATTCATCACTCACGTCATCGTAGTTAGTGTTTAAAGAACATTTTACCAAGAAAATGGCATTTTCTTATGACACATTTTTTTGCCGACGTGGAATTTTTTTTTGTTGAAACCCTTCCGAAGTTTTTTTGAAACCCTTTTGAAGTTTTTTAATGAAACGTCATCCTGAGAACATTTTGATTTATTATTATTTCAACAAGTTATTTAATGTCAAGCACAAATTTTAGGACTAATTTGATCAAAAATCTTACGCGCCGCTTATGTGTGGTAAAAAGTATGATCTCTTTTCCCTTTAGGAGAGCTAGAAATATTTTTCGGCTTGTTCTTAAAGAATAGCTGTCAGAATTCAAATATGTTTTTTGGTAGGAACGTTTTCGAAAAAAGCAACCGTCTTTTTTATATAGATAATAAAACTAACTTTTTAAAAAGGTTTGTATTTTGCCTCATAGGATGACGTTCACGAGCGGAAAATCATGGGTGACTTCCTCTTGTTGGCTCTAAAACAGGCAATGGACAAACACCCCAACCTCAAACTGATTCTACTCACTTCCTCCTGTTGTCCCCAGCAGACTGAGGTGTTCGGAAGTTTCTTCCACTCCTGTTCTACTGTCATCAATGTGGGACAGATGCAGGCAGAGTCGGATGTTCCGATTAAACATATGTATCTCGGCGATGTCTTGCATGAGTTAGTTTTGTTCAAGTCAGAGGCAGGTTAAAATGTCGGCGGTGGGCTAATAAATACGCTCGCCGATAGCAAACGTTATCAAATTGTCAAGAAAATCCTCATTGTCAAGAAAAAGCAGTTTGAAATTTTTTGTTTTCAGTCTAATTCTGAGCGAAAATCAAACGAGCAGGCTTTAATAAGAAGGTAAATTTTTACTTGCGCCGTAAAAGCTCATTTTAGTCAGGTAAAAAAGGTTTTGATGTTTCGTTGTGAGCTTTCATGCGAATAAAAGTTTGTTTTGAATAAAAAAATGTCTGCAAAAATTTCTTTCCTGGAAAAAAAAAGTTTGTCGGCTGTGCCTAATTTACTATAAATATCGTTTATGTCTAAAATTGAGGTTTTCGTCGCTCAGATCCTTTCATCAAACCATCGACAAAAACCAACACAGTTTGAACAAAATTCAGTTTGAACAAAGAGTTGATGAATTTAGTGATGCTTCTAAGATAGGTCGTGATCATTGTATTGTTTTTTTTTCAGTAAAAGTCTAAAATTTTGCTTACGCTCAAAATTGATTTTTCGCGGTTTGATTTTGATTTCATTTGAAGTTTATTTTGTTTGCTCAAAGGAAGGCTATCTCCATTTTTGTACATCTAAAGTGAATATGTCACGAACAGCGCGAACGACTTCTAGTTTCGGAAATGGTTTTCAGATCTTCCATCAGGTAAAAGTAATAAAACTTTTACCTCTTGATCCAATTTTCTCAAATTGAGTTAAATTTATCAGTTAAAATGTCAATATTAAATTGTTCTTGAAATTCAAAAAACTATAACGCCATGACTTTGATTTTTTAAAGTTGAAGTTTTTTCAAGATACATTTCAGTTTTTCTCTTGTTTTCTTGCGTTGATTGATTTCAACTTTATATTAGCATTTTTTGTGTCTGGGATGTTTTGGTTTCATCAACAACCAGTTTCGTTAAATTTTTGGTTTTATCTGATAACGTTGTTAGTGCCATTTTTACCTTTTCGTTTTTACAACTGCTTGGATTGTTTAAAACATTTAAAAACGTGAAAATCACGCAGTTTTTTCACATTGTTAACTTGTTCCTTGCGTGAATCTCGACTTTTTTGTATTTCATGTGTTTCCGGGCTCTGCTTTGCATCTGTGTTAGTTTTTCATTCCAAATGAAACAACGTTCTAAACGGCATTTTAGCTTTGTTCAAAACTAACATTTCACTTTGGCAAAGCTTAAAAGTTCTTAGTTTTATGAGTACTTTTTACACTTGCGAAGCGAGTGTGTTAGTACAAACTTTCTTTATTACAACTTAAGTGGCAAATATTGGTGTCACTTTTGGGGCACCGTTACAGCTTTTTCATAGCCTGTGCTTTGACATTCGAATAGTAATAAGTTAACACAGTTGATGTATTTTAAATATTTTTTAACTCAATATAAATTTTCTAACTCAATATATCTCGCAATCTTTTTGAAATATTCTAACTCAATGTATCTCGCAATTTTTTTGAAATACAAAATTTATACATAATGTGGCTTTATGATTTGCGATTTGTTACAAGCAAAGTTATAGTGTGGATGCTTTCAGTTTGTTTCATTCCAAATTATTACTTGCAAAATTGAGTCTATTTGTATTTGGCACCACTTTTGCTGAATGACATTGGTGTATTATTAATATAAGTAGCCGCTTTTTTTCGTTACCAGTGTTTGTCGCGTGTTAAGCTTGCGTAGCTGAGTGGATAGTGCGTGAGACTTAAAATCTCTTAGTTGCAGTAGGTCGCAGAAACTAATTCTACTCGTAGCCGAGTTTTTGCTAATTCGAGGCTTTTTTCTACTTTTTTTTATTTCACTTGATGGATGGAGCTGCTTTTCGGTCGTGTTCTCGTAAGTGTTTGCGAAGCGTAGCTTTGCCTCTGTGTCATTGTTTGCTATTGAAAGCTGATATCGAAGGAATCTATCTGGAGTTAATTTATAGATTTTTAGTGGGACTGAAGGAGCGCTTTTGTTAAAGCCAGTTTTTGATTCGAATACATTATTAATCTTTCTCATAGGGAAAAAATTTTGGTCGAGAGTTGAATCTTGAGTTTCACAGCGAAAAGAAAAACTATCAGTATGTTAAGTATCAGTTTGACCTTAAGTAGCTTTCATGTTTAGGTTTGGGTACGACTCTGATGAAATGAAGCGACACAGGTCCCTCGCCCACATGTCGGACGAGTGGAGTCACGTGGCCAAGCAGTGGGTGGAGTTACGTCACGAATTGGATATGAAGAGAAAGGAGTCCACGTTGGGAAACTCTGGCTTGGATGGAAATTGTGCTGGTGATGTCACTACTCTGGGAAGTATGGCACTGGAGACAAGCCAGAATGTATTCGCATGTGCCATGCCAAAGTCAACAGTCGAAATAGTAAGAATCTAAATAATCTCTTTGTACGTCGACGAAATTGCACGGAGGCCTAAGTATGAGTTTTTACGAAGCGACTGCTGCTGGATTCCAATGAATCAGTGTTAAAGGAGGGATTTGCACTTCCAGCTTAGTGGTTTGCTATAATTATATCAAGACATCTAGGAGGGGTCATATGTAGAAGACACCCTTCTTCTTCACTATCCAAAAGTTTTTGGTTGATCGATCTCAAAGTTTTCATTTAAGATGCCTTTTATAGAACTAAAAAAAGATATTAGTCGGCCTAAAAAGGCCAGCAACTTTTTTTAAATCCGAGTTCCCTTTCGAAGGAAATTAGTGGTTTTTCTCCTTTTATCTCATAATCTCTCTATAAAATTTTGTGTATTCCTAGTGCGACTTCTTTGACGGAGTTTCTTCCGACCTTCGACAATCCCTAGACAACCTCCTGTTTGACCTCTGGATAAACCCAAACTACGACAACAATTCCCACTCACAACTTCGACATATCTTCCTTGACAGAAGAGAAGTGCCAGTTGACTTTGTGCACTCCCATTCGGGACTGACATTCTGTGAAATAGCCGCATCCAGGGGCTTAGTTCACACTGTGAAGAATCTGCTCGCGTTGAGTTTGAATTTCGAGACGTCATGCGCATTCAGAGCTCGGTTAGTCCCGATTTAAATAGTTAACGTTTCATTGCTCCTACTACCTCACTCATATGTGTGAAGTAATTATATCGTAGTTTTTTTTTTCAACCGACTTTGACTACCTTAAAATGGGATTCGTATTTTTGAAAAATTTCAAAAAAAAAATTGTCCAACTGTTCAGAAAAACTGCTCACTTAATTCCATCGCCCTTTCTAGAAACGAAAATAACGTTAAATTTTGGGCAGAAAATGAACTTTTCTCCAATCAGAGTGGCCGGAACAGGGGCCGATCTAGGATTTTCCCGAGAGGGGGGGGGGGTTTCAAAAAAAAAATTCGAAAATTTTGTGTGTGGATCTTTTTTGAAGTTCGACCAAGTTGATATTTCGAGCTCTTTTAAAGCACTAAAAACCCTGTTTTAACCAAGTGTTTGTTGTACCGCAGGAAAATTTTTGAAAAAAAACAGGTCAAAAAGGCGTTTTTAGGCACTTTTTTTGACAGGTTTGACGAAAAGATCGCGTTTTTTGGCGCTCGCTCCCCCTCAAAATTAGTATATATTGGCACTTTCCATCGGAAGATTATATCCTACTGCCGTCTATTCTTGTTTGCAAAAATAAATAAGGTCGATTTTATATTTAGGTCATCGTATAAATGTGCATATTACTTTCGGCAGATGGAGACCGCAAACATTATCAAACGCTTCATGTTAGTATGGTTCACAAAAAAGTTTTTACTTTTCATAAGTTTCATCGCTAATGATTACTTTACTGGCCTCTACTTTATTGGCCTCTCATAAAAACTTTTTAGACATGCTCGAGAGAAAAACATGTTTATATATTTTTCGCGCAAAAGTCAATAAGCTCTTGCATTATCCAGAACAGTAAAGCATAGATAGACATATCCCCGTTTAATTAGATTTGTTGATTAGCATCTAATATCTGAACGAGATGAGATGTACACACTGTAATTTTGTAAGCAACTCAAATGATACACTAAGGTTAGACTATTTCGACTGTTTTTAGATTTCAAAATGGACTCGGTGAGCTCAAGTCGCCACCGTGTGAGCTCGGATTACTTCGCAACTATTTCGAAGCCCACGAGGAAAAAAGGGTCAACTTGGACCTCGTCAGAAATGTTATTTGTGGACTGCTGAAACAAATTGATGCTCATCGACATCAAAAAGGCAAGCGCATGGTCAATTTAATTAAAGGGTTCTAATTATGAACTATTGTGAAACGAATAACCGACAAACTATGCTTACTTTTGAATTACAAAGAGCAGCAGCGTATTCATCGTTTCCCCGGCAGATTGGTTGCCATATGTCAGTACAAACGATCGGAATGAATGTTCACTTTTCTGTAAAAAGTTTTAAAGTTTGTCACGCTCAAACTTGATTTTTCGCAGAATGATTTTGATAATGCTTTAAAAGTTAAGACTATAATTTTTTGCTAAAAGCGTGGCAAAAATGAAGTTAATCATTAGCGTTTCCCAGAAGCTTTAAATTTTTAGCTGTTGATTTCTCAAAATGGGTTAGTTTTTGTCAAAATACAGTCAATTCTGAAACTTATTTCAATCTTTTAGAGCATTGAGTTGCTATAAATGTTAAAGATCCTGACATTTTTTTAAAATTTCATTCGATTTCTTTTTGTTCCGACCATTTGAAAAATGGGGAGGAACTTTGTATTCAGGTGTGTTTTAGTTTTTTTCCACGCAAAATCAGGTACCGCAAATAATTATCGGAATGGGCCGAGTGATATATCATAATAAAGCCCTTTCAATTGTGATTTGAACGAAAAAAAAATTTCAAAAGTTTCTCTTACAGTGTCGAGAAAAATCGGTTTGAAATTTTTGATTTTTTGTATAATTTCGAACTAATATGGCGTGAGCGTTTAGGCTTACAATAGCTTATTTAACCCTACTTTAAGCGGTCAAAACTTCCTTTTACTCAAATAAAAGTAGTTTTTGGAATTTTTAGCGCCATTTTGAAAACTAAGATAAAAAATTCCAATAATTTCTGCAAAAAGTGTTGAAATTTTTTTTTCCTTTTTTTAAGTGTTTTTAGTGTTTCTAGTCAATTTTCTTTAAAGCTCTATTCCGAATGGTCTTTTTTACTATGACTGTCAAATATGCCTAAGTTCTCTTTTCGTTCAGATTTTTTTTATCACACCATGCTGAAAAAAACGACCATTTGAAAAAAAAAAAATCGAAATTTTTAAGAGTTGATGATTGTAGTTCAGACTCATGTATAGGTCGCGATGATTGTTATTTGTTTTTTTTTATCAAGAAAAATCTTAAAGATTCAGGCTCCAACTTTACTTTTTGCGGTTTGACTTCTGATTTTTTTTAAGTTCAGCTCATTTTATTTGTTAAAAGAAGGCAAACGCCACTTTTGACAGCGGAAGTATAAAGGTCATAAAAGCGACGTGATCGACTTCTCATTTCGAAAGTGGATTTTAATTGAGACTTCCCAGCGGAATTAAACTTTTACCAATTGATCCAGTTTTTTTTTCAATTTGAGTTAGTTTTATCAGAAAATTGTCAATCACAAATTGCTCTGGAATTTCAAAGAGCTTCAAGGGCATCTATTTTTTCTTTGAAATTCGAAACTTGGGACTTTTCAAAAAATAACACAGTAGTTTTTTCTCTTTACTTGCGTTCATTGACTTTTTTCCAACTGCTTGTTGGCTATGTGTTGATGTCTAGCAGTTTTAATATTTTCATGATTTGAAGTTAATCCCAAGTATGATTTTTTTCAATTGATTCTGTTAACTGACGGAAGTGTTTTTGATGTCCCTATTCCAATTCTTCTGAAAGTAGAGTTTTTAAACGTCAATGAACGTAGTGAAAAAAAATAATTTAAATTTGTTCACGCTCAAATTTGATTTTTCGCAGTTTGATTTTTGTTTAGTTTAGGTATTTTCCTTTGTTTCAAGGAAGTAAACTCCACTGTCTAACAGCAAACTAGTAAAGGCCACGAAATTATTTATTTTGACATTGGGTGTTCATATGTTATATTTCTTAGCGGAATAAAAAATATATATCGGTGAAGTTTTCTCAAAATTGACTATTTTAACCTAAAAAGTGTCAATCAAAAATTGTTTTGGGGCTCGATTTTTAAATTTGTGGTTCGATTTTGTTTTTGATTATGTATAATGCATGCATTGAAACAGTAGCGGTTTTAAAGAAAGCAGACGCCTCTTCCCCCCCCCCCCCTTCCCTCAGGGATTCGACTCCTGACTACCCAAAGGAGCACCCTCTGGTACAACTCTAAGATCTGATTCTTTGACTGGATGATTTCTTAAAGGCTCCAACTTTTTTTAAATTTTGATGGGGAAGCACGTGCCAAAAAACGCAATTTTTTGGCCATAATTGTCCTAAAAGTTCCTAAAAACGCCTTCTTTGTCCCGCTTTTTTGAAAAATTTTCTCGCGGTGCAAAATATTTGGGCAAAACGGTCTTTTTACAAGCTTTAGGAGAGCTCGTAAAACGAAAAAAAAAAACAATTTGATTGAACTACATAAAAGTCGACAAAATTTTCGAAAAATTCGAAATACGCGCCGCCCCTCGAGATAATCGTAGATCCGTTCCTGCAGTGAAACTTAATGAATGAATTATTGATGCATAACTCATTATGTTCACTTACAGATAACTCAGAGGAAGTCAGTTGTCTCGTGTTTCTGTCGAGCTACTTAGATGTGGTCGATCTGAGAGAAACGATCATGAGTGATAACTTCCAGAACTCACATACACTCGCTATAAAAGACAGGTAATTTTCTTACCCTGTTGAGTGCAGTCAAGTAAAGTTTTTTTTTGATTTTGAAACACGTTTTTGCCTTGTTTGAGTTACGCAACTTATTCAATGCTCAAGTCTAAGAAAGATTTTGAAATATGCGACGATATTGGCTGCCTGAGTGGTAAGTTTATGGACAAATGCTGAATTTTTTTCAAAACTGGTGCGCTTTTAGATGCAATTTGTACGTTCTTCAAAAAACTCTCATGTTGGTTAATGCCGCCAAAACTTCTAACGGATGCCAGAACTCGCAAGCTTCTTCTGTGAGCTTTGGACAGCTGAATGGGGATACAAAGATTAACCTTGTTCTGGCATCCAAGACAACACATTGTGGACCGAATGTGCCTCCAAATGTGAAGTTTGTCATCGACACTGGACTTAAACGAGAGGTAAAATGTATAAACTCTTACGTTGTCCTGCAAAGTCATTCCACATTAATTCATTCCACGAAGGAACTATGACATCCAGTGATTTTTCCCGCGCTGTTCAGTTACCTCAAAGGAAGCTCCTACGGAATTGTTTGAGGCATCTAGTTTTGGTCGTGTTTAAAAAGAGAACTCAAAGCTTGGAGAAAAAATATGAAAATTAGTTTTTTTTTTGGTTTACTTTGTTGTCTTTGTTTCACTGATAGAAATTAATTTGCTGTAAAATACTAGGATAGTCGACTAAAATATAACCAAAATTAGTCGATATCGAAAAAGTGACCCTTAAGAATGCTGGCCCAAAAAAAAGGTGCATAAACAGGTCGGTAGACATTAAGGAGAGGGGTGAGTTGCAATAGCACGTGCCCTATCTCTCGACCTCTCCATTCTTGTTTTCAGAAATGGTACGACTGTGAGACGGACTCGGAGTCTCTGTTCCTGAACTGGATCAGCAGGTCCGAATTGAGACAACGAGAGAGTCGCATTGACCGCTCGCCTGTATTGCAATGTGTGAATGAACCAACGAACTGTGGAAACGAAGAATATGAAGAAAATGGCTCAGCTCATATGCCATTGTTCATTCATTTGTACACTCTAGAGCGGTAAACATAAATACACTCTTTTTAACCTCTCAGGCTGCAATTTATTTTTTTATTGGTCAGCCCTCAATTTGGTTCCGCGCGAAAACTTCAAAATTGGCGCTCTAATGGCAACAGGAGCAGTGAACCGCCCAGGCAAAATATTTTTCGTTTTTGGTTTGAAGTTTCGTTTGAACATGTTCTCTAGTTCTTATGCGATGTCAGGAGAACTTATGTTTCAGTATGTCAGAACTCAGAGAGTTCGATGTTCCTCAGATTGAGAAAAGATCACTGGAGCGTCTGTGCCTGCAAGCCAAACTCCTTCGATCTTCTGATTCTGTCAGCGCCTCTGGAAGTCCAGGTCAACATATGTCAACGCCTGCTTCTAGCTCAAACTCTTTCAACCAGATTCCTCTACCCACGAGCCAGAGTTACCTAGCGACCAGCATACAAACTCAGTCCACTCCAGTTAAATTGACAATCAATTCTGCTAACTTGGCAGGATTCCTAATGCAATCCGTTACTTGTCCACCACAAAAGGCTCTGAAAAATGCTCTGCAAAATTTGTCTGCAATGGACGCCATGGACAAAAAGGAGGAACTGACCGAATTGGGGAAGTATCTAGCAGACCTTCATATACCAGCTTATTTGGGAAAAATAGCTATTTACAGTGTCATACTCAAATGTCTAGACCCCATTCTGACTATCATTTGCTCAATGATATACGGGAGTCCATTCAGGGAAAATCTGAATGGATCGAGTGGCAAGTTGTCAATTCAAAGATCGTTCGAATCCGTGCTTCATTTCTCGGCCAGCGTATGTTCCGATCATTTGGCGATGTTGAGGGCATTCCAGGCATGGCAGAAATCCAAGACATGTGAAACTGCTATTTCACAAGGTCAATGCAATCAGCCGGGAGGTATACCGTCCACGACATATTCTTCGTTCCAGTACATCTCAAACAGCAACCAGTTCTGCTTAGAAAACAATTTGAGTGCAGCCAAAATGGAACTGATCAGTGGTAAAAGGTAAGGTTTTTGGCTCTAGTTAACTCATCGAGGCCTTTAATTTGCCATTTCAGTTGTGCCGTGTTCGTATCAATGATTTAGAAGCCATGCAGCATTCAATTTGTAGACAGTCCTAAATTTTGTTGTTTAAGGGTACATGCTAAGTTTTTTTTCTAAAGAAGCACTAACCTTAACTTTTATTACTTTCTATGCAGACCTGGAGTTTTAGCGCACCTGTCTGAAATTACGGAACAAATTCGCATGTCTTATGGTATTTTCGTCACGTTTCAGGAAGTTTTTCTGAAGTTAGTTCAAATATAACTTCCAATGAACAAAATGTTTTTGCATTCCTTACTTATCATTTTCATGAAACTATCTTTCAGTTAGTTTAAAAATAATTTGCAATGAACAAAAATTTTAAAGAAAGAAATTGGACTTTTTGATGCTGTCCAGGGTCGATCTGATGACATTCTGCGTGCAATGGCAGACGTGATCACTACTACACCACATCACCTAGGATTATAACTTTATCTTCTTTTTCTTTCTATGCAGACGTGGAATTTTCGTCATCAGTGCGTTTGATTTGTCGAAAGTTACGGAAAAATTTCGCAAATCTTATTGTGTTTTCGTCACGTTTCGGAAATTTTTCTGAAGTTATTTAAATATAACTTCGAATGAATAAAAAGATTTTGCTTTCCTTATTTGTTACTTTCATGAAAATTGTCGTTCTGATGCTATCCAGGATCGAACTGAAGACCTTCTGCGTGTTAGGCAGACGTGATAAAGCTACACCACTGCACCTGAGTTTGCTCAAGTAGCTTCTTTTTCTTGTTTTGCACACCTGGAATTTTTGTCATCAGTGCATTTGTCGAAAACTACGAAAAGACTTCGCATGTCTTAATGTATTTTCGTCACGTGTCAGGCGATTTTTCTGGAGTTAGTTGAAATATAATTTCCAGTGAACAAAAACTTTGTACAATCTTTTTTTAAAATCATTTTCATGATAATTGTCTTTCTGATGCTGTCCAGGATCGAACTGGAGACCTTCTGCGTGTGAGGCAGACGTGATAACCGCTACATCACAACACCTGAGGTTACTCAAGTAGCTTCTTTTTGTTGTTTTGCAGACCTGGAGTTTTTGCCATCAGCGCACCTGTTGAAAGTTAAGGAACAAATCGCATCATGTTTTATTGTAATTTCGTCACATTTCAATAATTTTTTTCTGAAAATAGTTTAAATATACACTTTATCACCTGCGAGATTTCAAAGTTATCTTTTTTTTTCTTATTATGCAGACCTGGTATTTTTGCCATCAGCGCACCTGTCGAAAGTTACGAAACAAATTCGCATGTCTTATTGTATTTTCCTCAGGTGTCAGGCAATTTTCTGGAGTTAGTTGAAATATAATTTCCAACGAACGAAATCTTTGTACAGTCCTTATTCATCATTTTTATGATAATTGACTTGATGAAGCTATCATGGATCGAACTGGAGACTTTCTGCGTGTGAGGCAGACGTGATAACCGCTTCACCACAGCACCTGAGCTTTCTTAAGTAGCTTCTTTTTCTTGTTTTGCAGACCTGGAGTTTTTGTCATCCATGCATTTGTCGAAAATTACGGAAAAATTTCCCATGTCTTTTTGTGTTTTGGTCTTGTGTCAGGTAATTTTTCTGGAGTAGCTTCTTTTTCTTGATTTGCAGGCCTAGAATTTTTGTCATCAGTGCATTTGTCGTAATTTACGGAAAAATTCCCCATGTCTTATTGTATTTTCGTCAAGTTTCAGGCATTTTTTCTGGAGATAGTTGGAATATAATTTTCAACGAACAAAATCTTTGTACAGTCCTTATTCATCATTATTATGATAATTGACTTAATGATGCTGTCCAGTACCGATTTGGAGACCTTCTTCCTGTGAGGCAGACGCGCTAATCGCTACACCACAGCACCTGAGCTTTTTCAAATAGCTTCTTTTTCTTGTTTTGCAGACCTGGAATTTTTGTCATCAGTGCATATGTCAAAAGTTACGTAAAAATTCGCATGACTTATTGCAATTTCATCACGTGTCCGGCAATTTTTCTGGAGTTAGTTTTACCGTTTTTTCCAATGAAAAAAATCTTTGTGCAATCCATATTTATCAATTCTATGAAACTGGACTTTCTGATGCTGTCCAGGATCGAACTGGAGACCTTCTGCGTGTAAGGCAGACTTGATAACCGCTACACCACAGCATCTGAGCTTACTCAGGTAGCTTCTTTTTCTTGTTTTCTATGCAGACGTGGAATTTTTGTCATCAGTGCATTTAATTTGTCGAAAGTTACCGAAAAATTTCGCAAATCTTATTGTGTTTTCGTCACGTTCCGGTAAATTTTTCTGAAGTTATTTAAATATGACTTCGAATGAATAAAAAGATTTTGTTTTCCTTACTTGTTACTTTCATGAAAATTGTCGTTCTGATGCTATCCAGGATCGAACTGAAGACCTTCTGCGTGTTAGGCAGACGTGATAAAGCTACACCACAGCACCTGAGTTTGCTCAAGTAGCTTCTTTTTCTTGTTTTTCACACCTGGAATTTTTGTCATCAGTGCATTTGTCGAAAACTACGAAAAGACTTCGCATGTCTTAATGTATTTTCGTCACGTCTCAGGCAATTTTTCTGGAGTTATTTGAAATATAATTTCCAGCGAACAAAAACTTTGTTCAATCTTTTTTTTTTATCATTTTCATGATAATTGTCTTTCTGATGCTGTCCAGGATTGAACTGGAGACCTTCTGCGTGTGAGGCAGACGTGATAACCGCTACATCACAACACCTGAGGTTTCTCAAGTAGCTTCTTTTTCTTGTTTTTCACACCTGGAATTTTGTCATCAGTGCATTTGTCGAAAACTACGAAAAGACTTCGCATGTCTTAATGTATTTTCGTCACGTCTCAGGCAATTTTTCTGGAGTTATTTGAAATATAATTTCAAGCGAACAAAAACTTTGTTCAATCTTTTTTTTATCATTTTCATGATAATTGTCTTTCTGATGCTGTCCAGGATCGAACTGGAGACCTTCTGCGTGTGAGGCAGACGTGATAACCGCTACATCACAACACCTGAGGTTTCTCAAGGAGCTTCTTTTTGTTGTTTTGCAGACCTGGAGTTTTTGCCATTAGCGCACCTGTCGAAAGTTACGGAACAAATCGCATGTTTTATTATAATTTCGCCACGTTTCAATAATTTTTTTCTGAAAATAGTTTAAATATACACCTTATCACCTGCGAGATTTCAAAGTTATCTTTTTTTTCTTATTATGCAGACCTGGTATTTTTGCCGTCAGCGCACCTGTCGAAAGTTACGAAACAAATTCGCATGTCTTATTGTGTTTTCCTCAGGTGTCAGGCAATTTTCTGGAGTTAGTTGAAATATAATTTCCAACAAACGAAATCTTTGTACAGTCCTTATTCATCATTTTTATGATAATTGATTAGATGAAGCTATCATGGATCGAACTGGAGACTTTCTGCGTGTGAGGCAGACGTGATAACCGCTTCACTACAGCACCTGAGCTTTTTTAAGTAGCTTCTTTTTCTTGTTTTGCAGACCTGGAATTTTTGTCATCCATGCAATTGTCGAAAATTACGGAAAAATTTCCCATGTCTTTTTGTATTTTCGTCACGTGTCAGGTAATTTTTCTGGAGTAGCTTCTTTTTCTTGATTTGCAGGCCTAGAATTTTTGTCATCAGTGCATTTGTCGTAAATTGCGGAAAAATTTCCCATGTCTTATTGTATTTTCGTCACGTTCAAAGCATTTTTTCTGGAGTTAGTTGGAATATAATTTTCAACGAACAAAATCTTTGTACAGTCCTTATTCATCAATTTTATGATAATTGACTCAATGATGCTGTCCAGTACCGATTTGAAGACCTTCTGCGTGTCAGGCAGACGCGCTAACCGCTACACCACAGCACCTGAGCTTTTTCAAGTAGCTTCTTTTTCTTGTTTTGCAGACCTGGAATTTTTGTCATCAGTTCATATGTCAAAAGTTACGTAAAAATTTCGCATGACTTATTGTAATTTCATCACGTGTCAGGCAATTGTCTGGAGTTAGTTTTACCATATTTTCCAATGAGAAAATCTTTGTGCAATCCATATTTATCAATTCTATGAAACTGGACTTTCTGATGCTGTCCAGGATCGAACTGGAGACCTGCGTGTTAGGCAGACGTGATAACCGCTACACCACTGCATCTGAGATTACTCAAGTAGCTTCTTTTTCTTGTTTTGCAGACCTGGAATTTTTGTCATCACTGCATTTGTCGAAAACTACGAAAAGACTTCGCATGTCTTAATGTATTTTCGTCACGTCTCAGGCAATTTTTCTGGAGTTATTTGAAATATAATTTCCAGCGAACAAAAACTTTGTTCAATCTTTTTTTTTTATCATTTTCATGATAATTGTCTTTCTGATGCTGTCCAGGATTGAACTGGAGACCTTCTGCGTGTGAGGCAGACGTGATAACCGCTACATCACAACACCTGAGGTTTCTCAAGTAGCTTCTTTTTCTTGTTTTTCACACCTGGAATTTTGTCATCAGTGCATTTGTCGAAAACTACGAAAAGACTTCGCATGTCTTAATGTATTTTCGTCACGTCTCAGGCAATTTTTCTGGAGTTATTTGAAATATAATTTCCAGCGAACAAAAACTTTGTTCAATCTTTTTTTTATCATTTTCATGATAATTGTCTTTCTGATGCTGTCCAGGATCGAACTGGAGACCTTCTGCGTGTGAGGCAGACGTGATAACCGCTACATCACAACACCTGAGGTTTCTCAAGGAGCTTCTTTTTGTTGTTTTGCAGACCTGGAGTTTTTGCCATTAGCGCACCTGTCGAAAGTTACGGAACAAATCGCATGTTTTATTATAATTTCGCCACGTTTCAATAATTTTTTTCTGAAAATAGTTTAAATATACACTTTATCACCTGCGAGATTTCAAAGTTATCTTTTTTTTCTTATTATGCAGACCTGGTATTTTTGCCGTCAGCGCACCTGTCGAAAGTTACGAAACAAATTCGCATGTCTTATTGTGTTTTCCTCAGGTGTCAGGCAATTTTCTGGAGTTAGTTGAAATATAATTTCCAACAAACGAAATCTTTGTACAGTCCTTATTCATCATTCTTATGATAATTGATTAGATGAAGCTATCATGGATCGAACTGGAGACTTTCTGCGTGTGAGGCAGACGTGATAACCGCTTCACTACAGCACCTGAGCTTTTTTAAGTAGCTTCTTTTTCTTGTTTTGCAGACCTGGAATTTTTGTCATCCATGCAATTGTCGAAAATTACGGAAAAATTTCCCATGTCTTTTTGTATTTTCGTCACGTGTCAGGTAATTTTTCTGGAGTAGCTTCTTTTTCTTGATTTGCAGGCCTAGAATTTTTGTCATCAGTGCATTTGTCGTAAATTACGGAAAAATTTCCCATGTCTTATTGTATTTTCGTCACGTTCAAAGCATTTTTTCTGGAGTTAGTTGGAATATAATTTTCAACGAACAAAATCTTTGTACAGTCCTTATTCATCAATTTTATGATAATTGACTCAATGATGCTGTCCAGTACCGATTTGAAGACCTTCTGCGTGTCAGGCAGACGCGCTAACCGCTACACCACAGCACCTGAGCTTTTTCAAGTAGCTTCTTTTTCTTGTTTTGCAGACCTGGAATTTTTGTCATCAGTTCATATGTCAAAAGTTACGTAAAAATTTCGCATGACTTATTGTAATTTCATCACGTGTCAGGCAATTGTCTGGAGTTAGTTTTACCATATTTTCCAATGAGAAAATCTTTGTGCAATCCATATTTATCAATTCTATGAAACTGGACTTTCTGATGCTGTCCAGGATCGAACTGGAGACCTTCTGCGTGTAAGGCAGACGTGATAACCGCTACACCACTGCATCTGAGATTGCTCAAGTAGCTTCTTTTTCTTGTTTTGCAGACCTGGAATTTTTGTCATCACTGCATTTGTCGAAAACTACGAAAAGACTTCGCATGTCTTAATGTATTTTCGTCACGTCTCAGGCAATTTTTCTGGAGTTATTTGAAA